ATGTACCATAGCGATAAAATCAAGTTCAACCTCGAAACACCCTTGAAACCCCAAACCCATCCAGCAAAGCCCTTTCCAACCTGAAACCTAAACCGCAAGAAGACTCTTGGAGACTCTTCAACCATGTCACTGAGGAAGAGAGAGTCGACGCGCGGTGTACCATATCCGCATCTGCCAAGGCCAAGGGCTTTGTGGGGTTCTGTTCGGACTGTACAGGGTGTCATAGAGCCCTCTAGGAAAATGGACTCTACAGTGCTCTTGTAGCGTCTTTCATTTCGGGATAGGGTAACGGATGTATAGGATTCCATGAACGTCAACCCTAAACATGTGTCAGGGTTCGACACGAACTTTATCAAAAGTACAGGGCCATAAGGGTTCCATTTTATACGTGGGAGTTTCCGAACATAGGGAACCCCAATACAGGACCCTAAACAGTAGGACCCTCATTTTAAAGACCTGGTACCCCTAATTCTCGGAAACTCCCGCAGAAGGGTCTCTAGGGCTTCGGAGGAGTCTCCAGCTCAAGGGTGCCGCGCTTCGACTATTTTGTTTCTTTTTGTCGGGCCCTTTTCCTCCCTGCTACTGTCAGAATGCCATTGTACGTAGAGCCTGGTTCGAGGACTGAAAGCTCGACTATAGGGCTTCGAAGTTCAGGATTTTGATGCCTTCGTGGGTTTTGGAGTCCGCAAAGCAAGCTTTAGGACACCCTAAAACCCCACAATACCCCTTATAGTAACCCTTATAAACCCCTTTAAGAGGAACCCTTAAAGGAACCCTTATAGGCCCCTATCGTAATCAAGCATTGAGGTTTCGTTCCTCGGAAGAGCCGGTTTAGGGTTTATGGGCTTAGGGTTTAGGGGTTAAGGGGTTTAGGGGTTTAGGGGGTTAGGGTTTAGGGGTTTAGGGTTTAGGGGTTTAGGGTCTAGAGCTTCTATGTCTAAGAGTTTCCAACAGCGTACAGCCCGCGAAGATGAGAACAGTGAAGAGAATCCTTCTGCTTTTGCGAGCCATGTGGGAGTTTCCGAAAATAGGGGACCCTAATATAGTACCCTAAATAGTAGGATCCTGATTAGAAGGACCCCAAAAGAAGGCACCACCAATTTCGGAAACTCCCATGTAGCCAATCCCACATCCTCGCCCCGAGTGCCCTGAAGAAAAGATCCCCACGGCTGTGGCTAGACCATGCAAGTCCGATTAGAAGCTAGCAGCTAGTAGAATAGGGAGAATTATGACAAAGAAGAGCGTCCGTCTCGGGCTCCAGAAGCCTGTTATCGGTCTGGGAGCATCAGAATATGAGGGATTGTCATGTAGACCCCAGAAAACCAGGATCCCCACTCTAATGGCCCCTAAATTAGGTGCCCACCCTGTTTCAAGAAGTCTCCTGAGTCTCCTGTTGAATCCACAGCCTCAACAGGTCCAACACCCTAAAGCCTGCTGTGAAGGGCCACTTGGAGGGTCGGGGGACTTAGCAAGTAGGTAGTAAGTAGACTTTTTAAGTACCCTAAAAGGGACCCTAATTGGGGTTATGGTACTTATAAGTCCTTAAAATAGCCAGTTACTAAGTCCCCCGACCCTCCAAGCAGGAGGGGTAGCAGAAACAGCTCTGGGAACCTCAGCTCTGCTACCTGACGAAGCGCAAAGCAAAGGGAGCCTCTTCGGAACTCATGCAGCCATATCTAAACCTAACCTAGACCCCACGCCCCAAACTTGGGAAATTGCCCCGACTCGAACTCTTCCAGCATGCGCCGTGAGCCTTCCTCGTGCTCTTCTGTATCCTTTCCGTTTGCGTTTTCGCACACAGGGTTCTAATTCGTAAACTCCGCGGTTCCTGTTAAAGGATCCTGACAAAAGCAAATGTCCTACGATGCCGGAACAGATTTACTACTTTTGAATGGGGAGGCCAAAAAACTCCAAACCCGAAACCCTAACAGCAGCGCGCGCAACATTGAGGCCGAGACCCTTTCTGGGACCGTTTCAGTTTGTTGATTAGGCTGGGGTTTCGGGGGCATATTGACAATTTTACAAAGACTCTCGGAGAGCCTGTAACACAGCATCAGGCCCCCCAAAACCCTAAACCCTAAAACCCTAAACCCTACCAGACCCTTCTGCTAAACGACTGACTTCGGGAACAGCTTTATCGGCTCCGGGTCAGGGTGTCAACCGGGAGATGTGTTTAGGGTTTTTTTTGGTGCATTGGCTCTTGTTTAGGGTTTAGGGTTAGGAGTTTAGGGATTTAGGGGTTTAGGGGTTGAGGATTTAGGGGTTTAGGGTTTAGGGTTAAGGGTTTAGGGTTAGGAGTTTAGGGTTTAGGGTTAATTTCACAAAAGCAAAGCTAGCTAAAGCTTACTTGTCCTGTGTCTTAGGGGAACTAGAGGTTAAACTTTGGGAATATGTTGGGGTTATAATACCCCCCAACAAGGTTAACGGTTATCTATTCAACCACTAAGACCAAGAAAGCAATCGAGGTGTTTGGGATTTATCCAAGGGATCAGGGTTCGGGCTACATTCAAGTCTTGGTCTTGGAGCTTGGCGAATAGGGGTTTGCTTTTACGGCTCCCAAGGCTTTGGGTGAGAAGGGTTGCTTTGGAGGGTACTACACGATGTTTTGGCTTCAGGGTTTAGGGTGCCCAAGAGAGGAGAACAGCAAGTTAAAAGAGGACAGGTCGCTTCGACCAAGGTCTCACTAACCCTCAGCCCTGTTTGGCGCAGAGACCTCGATACTGAGTCTTCACCGATCGTCCCACATCTTTCTTCCTGCTCTTGACATACTGCGAAGATCCAGCAATCGGAGTTTCACAGTCGGGCCTAAAGCCCTGAATTTCAACCTCGGCCCAGAACCTTTTTCCATCAAACCCTTAACCCCTCTCCATTTTAGATATGTGTATGGGTCATAATTACATACATACAATCATACCATACCATACCATACATACCATACATACATACCCCAGACACCCCCAGACACCCCATGTAACCAAATTACCGTTATGGGCAACCCTAGATTACACCCGGCGGTCCTAGACGCGAAACCCTTAAACGGTCCTAAACCTCATAGAATGGTAGAACACTGACGGCGCCAGTAGCGGAGCCTTAACTAAACCCAGAAAGAAGCAAAACAAAGAACGCAATCCTCCCAAACAAACCCCGAACCCTCCCCTAAATCCTAAACCCTCAACCCTAAACCCCCACCACCAATCCCTTATCCTGTCAAGTCCCAACGTCCAAAACCCTAAACCACCCAAACCTTACAACCCCCCAAAGAACCCTAAAAGCCCCCAAAGCCCTAAAAGCCCTTCATTCAAATACCACAAAACCCTAACCTCCCCCCCCAAAAAAACAAAGCAAAAAAAAGCCTCCAAGTCGACCTTGGAGCTGAGGCGAACGGACTTCGGACTCGACCTGCCACACCGTCGGCAGCCTCCCCTGATACAACACAACTGCAACGCAACAGTAACATAATATCACCATCAAGAAAGAACATACTATCATATACTTTAATGTGAATATCACAGAAAAATCTAAACATATTATTACCAGTTGTTACCATCAAAGTAGCATCTACTATCATATACTAGAATATGAATATAACAGAATGATCTAAACTCATATAGCATGTTTAGTTGCATGATTTGAGAACTGTGGCTACAAGACCTGTGCTATAACTACAGCGATCCTACTCATAACCCGACTTAAAAACTAACCACGAACCTCCCCTGCTACAGGATCTACTTAGCACTCGCGCTCGATGCGGTCAGGCGAGGTTTCAGCAGACATCACAACGGCATGCACAAGTAGGGATAGAGGGGCTTTTTTTGACACTCACACTCGGACAAGCCTGGCAAGGTCTGTAGATAGAGGTTCGACGAAACTACCTGGTCTTCCTGAGTTGTAGGTGTCACAAACTCAGGTTGCTGTCAGACGAGATCCGAGAAAGGCCTACCAGCAAGTGTACAAACATAAAACGTGATCGCAACTGACAGCAGTCCCTCAAAGCGCAAACGCTAAACCAATTAAACCGCACGACCTAGTTGGGCTCTCTGAGGGACCAGTGAAACACAGACTGGTAACTAGTGGTACACTCCTCAACCGGCGATTATCATAACACCATGCTGTGCCCATGCAGAAAGAAAGGTGTTGTTGGCTCCATGCACATGGCAGCTTTGCAGGACGGTGGCAAATGTCTCCTTATGTCCGGGCAGGTCACGGCAAAACAGTTTGTGTAAATTCATCTCCAAAGTATCCAGAAGCACTCTCCCATGCAGAAGCATGCAGATACATGCAGCCGCAGGCATCCGACCTCACATGTCTGTCGGCAGTATACATCGGCCTACCGCGAAACATCCAATCGTCATGCAGAATATGTATTCCCAAAGTCGCATTCGTGTTGTAGGGACCAAGTATGTAGGCAGGCCCATAACGGATTACAAGCATGCAGACTCCCATGCAGACTTCCAATGCATAACTATGCAGTGCAGCGAAATCAAGAAATTCCATGCAGAGTTCCATGCTCAGGCCCAACCCATCAGAGGGAAGAGTATATTCCAGAATTCATCCATGCAGTCAGCGAGCATGCAGACTCCCATGCAGACTTACAATGAATAACCATGCAGTGCAGCGAAATCAAGCGGTTCCATGCATAGTTTCCATAAACAGGCCCAAACCATCAGAGGGAAAAGCATATTCCAGAATTCATCAACGCAGTCAGCCGTTCCACAAGCGTCCCACGTTGTCCATGGGGGTTCAAATTCACCATGCAAGTGCATAGAGTCAAGTAGCAGGAGAAGCAAGAAATCCACCATGCAGGCCAACGTAAGTCAGCTTCGCCCACGCATGTACTTGTACCAAAGTGCAGAAAAATCTTTCAGGTCCAGCCCTGGCCACATGCTCCTTGTGTATCATGCAGGAAAATGCACTGGAGTGCCATCCAAATTCGCTGGAATGCCATCCAAATTGGCGACCAAGAGAGCTTGGTAGCCCTGAGCCAAAGGCTTTAGCGACTTTCAACTCCGTATTTGGTGGTCCCGTGGTGTCCGTGCCAAAGCAGCATCCACATACAGGTACCATGTACGGGCACGAATGCGTGCATACGTATCATGCAGGTCCATATAGAACTCCGCTGGCACTTTCCGTGCTGTCCTGAAGTGCAGTTGCAAGATTTCATCGCATCTCTGCGCCAGACGCCTCCAGTAAGCAGCAACCAGCGGGAGCAGGCTCAGGTGTTCCATCCCAGGAGTGCTCCGGATGTCATCCAGAAAGCCCAATATATTCTGGGCAAACAGTCTCGGGTTCGCCGAGTCCTCCATGGTCTCGACAAATTCCTGAATTCCGATGCCATCATCCATCCATGCAGGCAGGCGTCTGCTGAGGCCAAAGGTCATGGCACAACGAATGAAGGTGAAACTAAGGTTCAGTATGTCCGGGGTCATGCTTAAGTAGAGGTTATAAAGGTAGGCGAGGGAACTACACTAGCAGTTGGAAGAATAGGTGCAGAAAGGAACCCCAGCAGGCAATCAGCAGCATCCATCATCAGTTCGTCAGTGTTTTGCACACATCAACGATTTCTGGGTTTGTGAGTTTGGGGTGTTACTACGCCTCCTGACTTCCTTAACCCTTTGCGCCGAACCAGAACCACAGGGTTTAGATCAACAAGGCTTATATGAAAGGAACCCAAAATCTCATTTTTGTATGTGGTTGGCTTTATTTGTGTTTAAAAGTGTTTTTTTGTATTTAAAAGTATTGTTTTGTATTTAAAAGTTTTTTAAATAGGTTTTTTTGTGTTTTACAGTTGTTAAAATTCTTTTATTTTATTTTTGGTGTAAAAAATACATGTTTGTGAATTTTGTTTCTGAGTGAGTCAATTGGCTTCCTGTTGTTCTACCTGGTTTCCTGCTGCTGTATGTCTACAAAATTGTTGTTTATTTGTTGTTGAAGTTAATAATTTTTAAAATTTAATCTTTTTAAATAGTTTTGGGTTGTGATTGAACAAAGAAGGGAGGCCGTAGTGACATGTTGACTTGCCTTGAGATCTTGCCCTTACCCACACGGATCGACTGCCCTTCTCGGTTCGTGGGCACCGTTGGCCGGGTGTCAGGTTATGAGGCGATTGTATCTAGACCGCCTTGGGGCCAACGTGCCAGGGCAGTGGCATATGACACCCGGACAAATGGGCTAAAGTGCCGGGTGGGGCGGTTGAGGGGTTGTTCGCAGCCGTGCTTACAGCCTTGAAGGGGAGGCCATCCATGCTTGTCGTCACGTTTTGTTAGGGAGCCTTGCGACTTGGATCGACAGAGGCAGAGTGCCACCTTACCCACACGGATCGACTGCCCATCTCGGTTCGTGGACACCGTTGGCCGGGTGTCAGGTGTTGTCGATGGTACCTGGACCGCCTTGGGGCCAACGTGCCAGGGCAGTGGCATATGACACCCGGGCACATGGGCTAAAGTGCTGGGTGGGGTGGTCCAGTGGTTGTGGCTTTTTTATTTTTCTCCCAACCAGGAGGGGAGGCCATCCATGCTTGTCACGTTAGTTAGGGAGCCTTGCGACTTGGATCGACAGAGGCAGAGTGCCAGTCGAGCCTCTCGAGGTTGCCTTACTTAAGTCCCTGCCCCATCGGGGTTGCTCCCCACACCGTTGGCCAGGTCTAAGTGTTCGGTTTGAATCCAAGCCTAGTGAACGCCTTCTCTTCCATTTCCTTCTCTCCCATCGGTCTTCATCGGCTTCCAGCCCATCGAGAAGTGGATGCCAACTGCTGGGATCTCAGCATCAGCTTGCTTCAGCTACTTCCATTATTATGGTACAGTCCTGGCACCGAGGCTCATGACGAGGATCCTGAGGACATGCTGCCATCGCAGAGGACAAGCTGCCTTGCATAGTCAGTGAGCGTGTCATGTATCGCAACTTGCCGCTGCAGCAGTTGTGCTCGCTGTTGCCCTGCGTAATCTACTATAGTCGTGTTACAGCTGCTCTGTCTCAAGTCTAAGTCGTAGTAGGCCCCCCTGCAAGCCGGCAGATGTCGTCGACGTCGTGGAGTGACAGTGAGTCTCTGGGCTCGGACTGGGTTCTGGTTGACGATGAGGGTGCAAGCACTGCGGGCTCGGTCGCGGACAGTTTTGACGACGATGATTCTGTGATTCCGTTCGACACGATGCTAGAGGAGTGCTTTACGACATTCTGGATGTTTCTGAATTCTCAAGAGCGTGGGCAAGTCTTGCAAGTAGCCTGGTCTGTCAATGAGCAGATCATGTTCACACTCTTTCCGAGACTTCGGCGGGATTTTCGGCAAGGCAGAGTGCCAGGAATTTTATATTACAATGTGTCAGACGAATTTCTGGCGTTACTGCTTCAATGATTTGTCGTGTTTGTACAGCCTCCGAGACCGTATTACGGATGTTGGGGAAGGCAGAGTGCCGGGTTTGCGTGTGTTTAGAGGATTTTGAATTCGACGATCTCGCCAGCAGAGCTAGACTGTCCGATTTGAGACCTCAGCGGTAGTGTGCGCAACTTGGATTCAAAACGGTTACCCAGCATGACATGCTGACTACACAGTGCCGGGTGGCAGTGATGTCCTCAGGACCCTGCTGTCTCCGAGGCTGGCTGCCTGCCTGCCTGCCTGCATAGTCTGTCAGTGAGTTGCCTTGCACCATACATGATCGACATCGGTCTGCCGGCCAGGGAATCAAGTGATTCATTCATACTGATGTAACAGTAGTAACACAATGTTACATATCATTGATTAATGTACTGTATAGTGATGCATTAGTCACTGTTAATGTTTTAATCGTTGGACAATTGTGTGCTCGATGAAAGCAGTGATGCCGACGACCTGCTCTGTCTCTAGTCTAAGTCGTAGTAGGCCTCCCTGCAAGCCGGCAGATGTCGTCGATAGTCTCTGGGCTCGGTCTCGGACTTATTGGCTGTTGGCGAGTTTGCAAGCACTGCGGCGTTTGGGGGTTCGTTTGCGGGCTCGGTCGCGGACAGTTTTGACGACGATGATTATGTGATTTATTTCGACGAGCTGCTAGAGGAGTCCTTTTCGACATTGTGGTTTTTTCTGAATTTTGAAGAGCGTGGGCAAGTCTTGCAAGTAGACTGGCATATCAATGACATGATCCTGTGCGTACTCGTTCCGAGATTTGTGCGGGATTTCGGGCAAGGCAGAGTGCCAGGAATTTTATATTACAATGTGTCAGACGAATTTGTGTCGTCACTGAATCAATGATTTGTCGTGTTTGTACAGCCTCCGAGACCGTATTACGGATGTTGGGGAAGGCAGAGTGCCGGGTTTGCGTGTGCTTAGAGGATTTTTGAATTCGACGATCTAGCCAGCAGAGCTGGGCTGTCCGATTTGAGACCTCAGCGGTAGTGTGCGCAACTTGGATTCAAAACGGTTACCCAGCATGACATGCTGACTACACAGTGCCGGGTGGCAGTGACGTCCTCAGGACCCTGCTGTCTCCGAGGCTGGCTGGCTGCCTGCCTGCCTGCATAGTCTGTCAGTGAGTTGCCTTGCACCATACATGATAGACATCTGCCGGCCAGGGAATCAAGTGATTCATTCATACTGATGTAACAGTAGTAACACAATGTTACATATCATTGGTTAATGTACTGTATAGTGATGCATTAGTCACTGTTAATGTTTAAATCGTTGGACAATTGGGTGCTCGATGAAAGCAGTGATGCCGACGACCGTTTCAAGGTGCTCAGGGAGTTCCGAGGCAGAGTGCCAGACTTCTGCTGCTGACCATCAGAATCAGGCCAATCACATTGACCTTGGCAGTGATGACTGGAACGAAGCCGTGCAACAACTTCGGTGGAATTGTTTACACTGTGGCAGATCAGCTGCCGACTATACCACCGGGCTCCGAAAGATCCAAAGGGCTGCACAATTGGATCAACGAATCAAATTGGCAGTTGAGGCCATCTCAGATTGCGGAGATATGGATATGAAGTTGTACAAAGCATGGACCGGCCAGACAGATGTGCTGCCTGGGTCGATCCCGCCACCTCGGCCATGCCAGCATGATGTCGAGACGTGGCCCATGGATGATGTTTTGATTTACGACCATCCCCAGTGGCAACGGTTTGTTGGCAGTATTGGTTGCCCGATCCGATATGACCAGCTCCGGGTCAAGCCTGACATTGTCATCTCTATGAATGCAGATGACAGACCTCGGAATTTTGAGCCATGGGACTGGTATCAGTATTTGGCGAATTGTGGACCGTTTGGCACTGCACATCTTCGGTATGGTGGCTGGGATCAAACACATGCCCATGACTTTGATGCTGAACAAAGAAGTCATGAGTTCAAGACCATTTGGCGCCGCCTCATTTCAGATTTCAGAAAGATTATGATGTGCTGGCAGCGCTCAGCAGAGGAGTTCAGCCAGAGTCAAAGGCAGAGTGCCATCAAGGGCAAAATGATGGGCAAGGCCAATGGCGGCAGGGGAAAGGGCAAGACAATCAGCAAGGGCTACAGCGGCCCCTGTCAGGTTTCCAATCACATGCAAAGCCAGAAGGCATCGACGAAGGGCTCATTTGGCTATGGCTGCTCCTATGACAAGGGCTTCAGCAAGGGAAGTGACATGGGCAGCCTGTTCGGAAGAGCCGCTGATGGAAGGCAGAGTGCCGATGGAAGGCAGAGTGCCTTGAAGGTGGCCGATGAGACATTCCCTGGTGAGCTCGGTAATGATCTTGCTTTGTTGGAGGCGATGAAGCTTCAGGGAGGTGGTCGGAAGCGTGGAGGCAAGAAGAGGCCAATTCGTGTGCTTGTCCATTGCTACGGTGGCATTAACAGGACCTGTGCTGCTTATTGTGTCCTAGTCATGGCCTTTGCCTCGATGACCATGGAACAAGCCATTGTCAGGTGGATCAACCACCGCGCCTACTATGCTCCATTCCGGGATCGTGAGTACATGATTGAAGCACTGCTGGAAATGCAGGATGAGCTGCACACGTACAGTTGATCATCGACACTGAACCCGAAGTCCATGGTCAAACAGTTCTGCTCCAATGAATGATTCTGAGCCGTCGAAATTTGTGTCCCGACACTGGCCCAGCAAGAGAGTCCTGGACCCGACACTGGACTGCTGGCTGGAAGTGAAACACAGTCCTTACCTTGAAAAGGCTAATAGTTACATTCCCACTTTCAGCTGGCAGTCACAGCTTAATTCGTGCGTTTAAACCTGGCTGCCGGTGTTACTGACTGAGCTTACAAAGAAAGTGAGATCATGCCCGTCTCGGTTGTGGAAACTGTCAGTTCCTTTGTCGGTTGTGCCGACATGGTGATCAGGGCCGCTGGGGCGATTGGATGAGTGAATCCAGGCGGCGACTCAGTGGGTGCAAGTGTGACTTTAACAGTCAGTCTCCGGTGATTGTA